CTTTTTCCCCTTCCAGTATTCCTCCGTGTAGCACCCTCAATGATTTAAAAGAAATTTTGGAAAACACGGACTTTATTAAAAACTTTTGGAACAAATTTGAACTTTGAGAAAAACCACTTTAAAATTTAAGAACCATTTCCCTTTACTTCAAATCTAACCGACAATCGGAAAATAAGATTTTTCATAGAGAGTGTACCATAACATGAACGGGATTTTGAAAATAATCTCGAGGTGGCGGAATAATCCACATAAAACATCACCGGGGTTTAGAAAACACTCGTAAGACAGCGGAAGGAAATAAACTTTATTTAAGATACCCCCGTTTAATAGACAGGGTTCCCAAATCAGAGTACAAAAATTAAAAATCGATATCTTGGCTAGATATTTTAGAAATCGTTGACGTGGTAAAAATCCGGGTTAAACAGTCAAGGCATCAAGGCTAGCGATTCCTCGAACTCCACTCCGCCGGCCTCACAACCTGAAAAGGGAATATAAATAAAAGCATCAGCCCAACCACTGGCTCAGTAAGGACGTTGGCCTGACGAAACTCACGCCTCTCCCAACGTGTCACTCACGACCTATGGGAGTCCTAAAGTCCCTGTCTATGTTCTTTTCTCTTTTCAGTCTAAGGCCTTTACGTCATAATTGTATTATGTTATAGTATTTCATGGACGTTAATCACGACATATAATCACGTCACAAATAATTAAACATATAACTTCACATATGAGCACATAATAAAAAGTCTGGTTTTGCTTTCAAAGCCATTTGAAATTCACTTTGAAAATCATGTGGATTCGTTTTCCTTTAGAAATCATTTCTTAGTTCATTTCGGAACTCGTCTTGGACAAAATATCCCTTTCCACGAAGTTCCCCTTTTTAGAACGAAAGCCCCCTTTTAAAATTCTTTTTAAAACCATTTTTCTTTCAAAATCTTTCGTATGCAAGTATGCACATGTTGGGATCCCCATCAAAACCCTAACGTAAGCATCGGCAATAGACGTTTATATGTTGAGCCCGGTCATTCGGTGGGAGCTAACCACCCTATAGTTCTATAGTAACTGTTGTTGGGATACCGGCCCCCCGTATCCCGTGTCTATTCAACCGTAACAACGTTACAATTTTGACTTTTCTATAGTAGACCATGCAATACCAATTAATGACTCGATGAATGCACGAAAGTCAAAGATCTTAATAGCAACACGATAATAATTCCAATTATATCATTCACGTGATTCGAAGGAATTAAATCATATAATTCGGAAGTAATTTCCGAGACTATAGTAAGCACATAGAGATCAAACATTAGTAATAAAGACACATATACTTTTACACGTAGATACACATAGGCACTTATACGTATTTATATACTTATACATATACGTATATACTCTAATTTATAACTATGGGTTATAAGTTTCCTCAACCCGAATGGAGTACGCCTATAACATCATAGGTCTAAACTATCGATATACATATAAATATACTTATATATATACATACTTATACCTCACAAGAGTAAACCACGTAATTCAACCAAACATAATGAAATTCAACGCTTCTTATTTAAGGAACCATCAGAAATCTAATTCATTATAAGTACTAGCACATAGTAACTTCGAAGAACAACCTATTGTTCTAATCATAGATTGGTCTACGAATATTTCTTAGATATAGCTCAATACTCACAGTAAACTTCATCTATGTTCAATTATTATGTTAAGTTATGCCTCAAGAGTTTAAACCATGCTCATAAAGGACCCTTTAATTCAAGTAGTTTACTTGTAGGAAAATCGGACACTTTTGAAACTTTAACTTCAAAAATACATTTCTCTTAAACCATAACTTCAAAAATTCTGACACTTTAACACAATACTCCTATATCAGTGGAAAAGACTCCTTTAAAACAGTTTTCAAAGACAAGTAGTAGCCTAATGGAAATAAGTAAAACAGTACAGTAGTATGGTTACACTTTCAGAAACAGAACCATCCACTTTAAAAATACCCAATAAATCACCCTTTTGTTAAAACGCTGTAAAACTTTGCAGAAAACTGGTTTTATAAGTTATAAATATATTCCAAGAGAAATCAAGGAAATCAAACTAGGAAAACATCGGTTTTAAAAGAAAATTCTCGGCTGACTCAAAAATTGTGCATGTTTAGTAAATATTTCATATCTTAATCATCTGAAATCCGATTGATGATTAAAATATATCAAATTAAAGAGAACAGAAAGATCTAGTTACCCATAAACTTTCGTGATTTTTGGAAAACAGGGCATCTGTGAAACATGCAGTAAACTCCGAGACTCAAAACCTGAAAATTCATAAGTAATCTATATCTACATCTTTGATCAAAACAGATCTGGCAGTTTAGGCACTATAACTTCAGAAATTCATATCTCCTAAACCGTAGATCCAAACCTGATGAAATTTGGAACACATGTTCATATCTAAGTCTAGCTTATAGGGTTAAAACAGTTTATGAAGAAACTCATCTATGTAAGAGATATAATCAATTTAATGCAGTAACATAAGCAGAAATTCAGAACAGATCCACTAACTTTAAGAATACCAAATAATTCATTACTTAATCTAAAAATTGCCAAATTTTGTAGAATATTATTTTAATAAGTACATAATCATATTCAAGTGAAACCACTTCAATAAGAGTAGTATAAAAAGCTATTTAACACATAATTCGTGGATGACTCCGAAACTGTGCAGATTTAGAAAACGATTCATAACTCACTCAATACAAATCCGATTTATGCATAGTTTATATCCACATGAAGCTAACCGAAAGATCTAGACTACCATCAAATTTTATAATTTTATCTTAGGGATTACCCGATGAGACATGCAATACAATCAAAAGCTACGAAACTGAAATTCAATTAGTGTTCATCAAGAACTTTATCTTCTAAAGCCCAAAATTAAACCACAAACATATAATTCATTAAAACCCATATAATTTATATTAATTAGGTTATTATTTCAGTAAAGACCAAGGTCCTTACCCAAGAACAAGAAATCGAAGATGAAGGAGTAAGAAAACCAAAGGCTCGGTGGATTTTCGGCGGGTTTGGCTTGGATGTTCTTGGATGGCTTTGGGGCTGAGTTTGAAGGGGCTGTTTCTTCAAGATTTTTAGCAGAATTGAAGAGGAAGGAGTTTCTCTTGGAGAGGAATTGAAGAGAGGGGCTTTGATGGGGTGATGGAAGAAGAGAATTCTTCTTTGGGGCTGTTTTTGCTCGATGGAGAGGGAGAGGAGGGGGAGAGGAGAGGACCTTTTGGCTGATGTTTTGGTGTGAAGAGAATGTGAAGAGGAGGGGTTTATGTATAGGGGAGATGAGGCCCTTATTGCAATATAAAAGATATTGGGGTTTTATTGAAAATTTGGGAGAACATACCTTGGGGGCTTCTTAGCAATATAGAAGAAAAGAGGGGAGTCCTTAATAATTAATAAACTTAGGGAGAAATCCACTTTCCCCTCACACACAACACACGGCCAATACACACACTAAAACATCTAATTCATATAAATTATAATTAGGATACCAATTAATCACATCATCTCAATCCTAGATTAATTATCAATTAAAGCACATCATTAAAATCCATGGACTAAAGCACATAATTCATTAAATCACATAATTAGAATCAACTACTCAATTAATAATAATGTCTACTTCTAAAAATACTATAATGTATCTAAATCACATAAACACATAGAGAACGTATAAATTGCTACGCGATTCATGAAATGCATGTATATTCGTATTTACTATATGTTCAATATAATCATATATAAATGCTTATGAAAATGCGGGCTGTTACACTCCGTCATCGGGAAGCTGAATATTATATTGCAATATAATTTGTATGTAGATGGAGGAGGATGAGAAAGCAAAATGCAGCAACAAAAAATATATAGGGCAAATCTGTGGGGACAAAAATGGCATTTCACTAATGGATCAAATAATAAAAAAATAAAAATTAAGAAAAGACATGCCGCCAAAAGTTTACAGAACCCTCTGAGCTTAGGAAGGATGAGCTAATTTTTGCTATTTTAAATGTTGCTTTTATTTGGGTTACAATACAAATGCGGGATTAAGAAACCAAACGAAAGCCTCTCTCTCTCTCTCTCTCTCTCTCTCTCTCTCTCTCTCTCTCTCTCTCTCTCTCTCTCTCTCTCTCTCTCTCTCTCTCTCTCTCTCTCTCTCTCTCTCCGTGTTCTACTTTACAAATCAATCGGAAAATCTATAAAAATACAGAAGATAATTGTTTACGAAATCACAAACAAGGAAGATTAGGTAGTTATTCATTTTCACGATTTGACGATGGAAGATTAGAAAGTACATAACCCTTGTGGTCCATATATATGATAGATATTAATGCACTATGTCTATATATATAAACCAAGTTGTACGTATAATTTCTCTCCCACTATTATATTATTTTCTCAATTTCATCCAAATTGTTTTGCTTGCTTTTCGTAATTAGTTGACGACGGCGGAGAATACTCAATTTGTGTCTTCCTTCCCTCTCTTTTTTATGCTGGTAATTATTAGTAGCTTTATTTAGACTATATATAATTATTTGATTTTTTTTTCTTCTTTCTGAAATTTGTTTATATTTGCTTCCATTGTCTCAGAAACGAATAGAAACAAGTGGATCTTTGCCATCTCTTACCTCCTTTGCTGACACCTGAGTTGTCGAGGTCACGTTGCGACGTTCATTGCCGACATTGATTAGCGGTTACGAACTCGTCGAAAAGTTTTTCAAACAACAAGAGGTACGTAACCTTTTTTTCTTCTTTTTTCCTTCACTAAATAATGTCCATTAATAATTTTCATGAGAAATAAAATTCACGTTCGTGTAACATAATATTTAGTAATCTATGTTTTCGTGTGAGTCAATACTTGTGTCAATGTAGTATTTTGTATGCTAATGATGTGTTGATTTATTTATAAAATATTATTATAATAATTGGTTTGTTGTGTGGGGCAAAATTCACTTATTGTATAAAGGGGCAAAATTCATTTTCATCCCTGACTTTTTACACTAGCCCTCGTCCTTTTCAATTCACATCAATTTCATCCCTTAATTATTCTTTAAACAATAAATTTTGATTAAAAAAATGGATTTGAATGAAATACCCCTAAATCCTACATTTCTATTCAACTACTACTACTACTAATAATAACAATTACACCAACTATTACAATTAATTTATTTGAGTAGAATCTTATAAATTTTAGTTAATATTAGTTGTGTCCCATATTTTTTGTTATTTATTTTACCTTATACTTTATATATATATA